GCTTGAATTGGAGTCACGATTCCAGAGTGACCACACAAATGAAGGATCAAGATAGTGGGTTAGGGTGTCTCAGAATGTCCCTTTTTTTTTTGGAACAGAAAAATTCGTCCTCTCTAATAAATTCGTCCTCTCTAATCCTCCCAGGGGAATTACCCCCCTTATATAGAGACAGTGTGCTATGATATGGCGTTTATGGCAGGAACTGCGTCATTGTGATGGATCTGTGTTGACTGAGAGTCTCGCATTGAACATCAGTGCTCAGTCCGTGAATCTTGGTGCTAAGGAACCCACTCAGTTCAACAACTTTTACCCAAGAAAACGATCTTGGGGGTTTTCGAGGATCTGGACTTATCCCCTACAACCCGCAGGCCGTGCTTTCGAAGCTGGATGTTAAGTTGCGAACACCAACACCTCCTGGGACCCCTGATGGATCGCGAACACCATGGGTCTCCAACACGCCCCAAACTACCAACGAAGCCCTTTCGCAGTCTGCCCTTATCAAAGATCAGATTGCGAGACACCAGGGAAGCTCTCCGACTCCGATTTAGCTGCTGTTGACCAGCTTTCGAAGGGAATGCAAGCAGTTTCCCATCGGGTCACCCTTTTGGAGGCCGAGGTACGGACACTTCAGGAGGCCAACGAAGCACTCTCCAAGCGCCGCAGAGCCAAACGGACGCGTCTCCAAGATGGCGGGGCTATTAATGGAAGCCAAGCTAGGGAAAAAATGGCAGAGAAAGGTATGGTGGACGAGGAAGAGCGCGTTGAGGAGGAAATTGAAGGACCATCAAAGAGGCGTCGGACGGGTTTACGGCTCTGTGGCATCTGCCGCAAGACTGGCCATAATGCAAGGACATGCTCGGAGGCTGGAGAAATAGATAGCTTAAGCGATTCTGAGTAGTTTCAATTGATTGCATCAGATTCTGGTGGACTTTTGGCAGTTGTAGTGGCATAGTCCGGAAAATGTGTCCGACTCAATGGGGTGTCCGAGTCAATGGTGAATCACGTTAATACTAACTCCAATAATTTTTTTCACTCTTTATCTTATAAGGTATATTATATTATATGGGACGATATGGGTTTTTCACCCGGCCTACGAGGGTGCAGTTTTCCTGTATAGTAAGTTGTTGAAGGTCCGGCATGCCCTAGGGCACAACGGTGTAGGAATAATAATAATATTATATGGGAGAGCCAATGCAACCTCTAGCAATAGAGGAAGCTACAGAGATTATTGCAGCCTGAAGAGTCTAAGGCAAAAACTGCTACAGAGGCTCTCAATAAGGCCTGGAAGGCTAGGTGGTATCACGGGTCGTGGTGCCGTGGTAGGTACTGCCTTGTATTTTATGTGGTTGCACGAGGGTAGAAACTGGGAGGCGCGGCGCCCACAAAGAAGACCCTGTGTGTGTAGGCTGCGCACAGGCCACAACCGCAAACCCCACTTCTGGGTCTGTGCCTGCAGCCCTAACCCTGACTAACTACAACCCTAACCATTAATATGGAACGGGCTGTGCCCGTGACAGGTGGGCCCAGGAGGCTACTAACTGACTATAATGGTATAGGGCCTGCAACCAGGCCTTCTCACCGTACAACTAGCTGACCACCGGCCAAATCTTGACAAAACGGCACTAGAAAGACATGAGGTGTGACGGGCACCACCCAAGGTCTGGTCAGCTCGCACATACAAGATCGATATTGCTACAACGAGAGCAAGAGCTAGATGCCAGGAATGGGCGTGCAACCAGACCTTAAGTACTGGAGCAGAGGCTTATACGTAAGCATGACCATAGACATATAATCAGACCCCATGACGTATGCATGACCGTAGGCATATGACATAACTATGAGAATAGGAACCGGGAATCCCATGACATGAGAGCCCTATAGAGGCCAAGAACTCCATACTAACTCAGATCCGAACTGGAGCTATAGGCCTCAAGGACTTCCTCTTCTTGTGTCACAGGTAGTGACAGTGTGAGATTTATATGCGCAACTCCTAGTTCGACTAGACAGTTCGAACCACAGTTGTCACGGGATTCCCTGTTCCTGTTCGCATAGTTATATCATATGCCTGCAGTCATACATACGTCATAAGTCTAATGAATACGTCTGTGGTCACGCCTATATATAGGCCTCTGCTTTAGTACTTAAGGTCTGGTTGTACGCCCATTGTGACGGGCACCACCCAAGGTCTGGTCAGCTCGCACATACAAGATCGATATTGCTACAACGAGAGCAAGAGCTAAATGACAGGAATGGGCGTGCAACCAGACCTTAAGTACTGGAGCAGAGGCCTATGCGTTAGCATGACCCTAGACGTATGATCAGACCCCATGACGTATGCATAACCGCAAGCATATGACATAACCATGACAACAGGAACGGGGAATCCCGTGACACCCATCCAATTATCTAGCTCCTGCTCTCGTTGTAGCAACATCGATTTTATATATGCGAGCTGACCAGACCTTGTGTGGTGGCCCGCACAATGGTCCCTCTTTTACGAGTACTACGCAGTAGTCAGTTGCGCCCACCCGTGATAGATATGCTCGTAGGGAGACCTATATAGGGCTCTCAACGGGTGAAGAAACAAAGAGAGAAGGCTTATAAGGGAGGTAGTTAGGTAGCTACTATGCTCTAGGAGGATCCTGGAGTATAAGCTAGCTATATAGCTAGAATTAGGCTAGTTCAATAGCCTAATTGGCTATCTGCGCCTTTCTTTTCGCTATAGTGCGTGGATTTAGGACTTCAGACTGGTATAAGTTAGACACATTTTTGGTTCAGCCTTATAGGCATAGTTTTCCTTTGTAATTAGTAGTAGAGGGTCCGGCGAGCCCTCGAGCAAAGCAGTATAGAGGTAATAATAATAATATATAACTAACGTACATGATAAGCGAACGTCCCAGACATGCGAACGTCCCACAAATCCACTCCTTCATACCTTTCATCTTTTTATCGACTTTATTTCACAACGCAATATGCCCCTAAAAAACGACGAAGCCCAAGTGCAATTAGCCCTTCAAGCAATCCAGAATGATCCGAAACTGAGCCTAAGAGCTGCAGCTAGGATCTATTCTGTGGACCACGAGAAGCTCAGTCGCCGAAGACGCGGTAAACATTCACGACGCGACATTCCGGCTAACTCGCGCAAATTGACCGACCTGGAGGAATCGGTTATTGTTCAGTATGTCCTCGATCTGGATTCCAAAGGATTCCCTCCCCGCTTGTCTAGTGTGGAAGATATGGCCAATCGACTACTTGCCGATCGCGACGCGGGACGCGTCGGGGCGCGTTGGGCGCACAACTTCGTTAAACGACAACCAGACATCACGACCCGATTCAATCGGAGATACGACTACCAGAGGGCCCTGTGCGAAGATCCAGATATCATTCGTGGCTGGTTCGCGCTTGTACAGAACACAATCGCAAAGTATGGTATCCAAGAGGCGGATATCTACAACTTTGACGAGATTGGGTTTTTGATGGGCGTTATCTCGACTGTACTGGTTGTTACCGGCACTGAACGGCGTGGTAGACGGAAGACAAGGCAGCCAGGAAACCGCAAATGGTCCACCGTGATCCAGTGTATCAATGCCTTAGGCTGGGTACTCCCGCCGTTCATCATCCTGGAGGGCACCCATCACATCTCTTCTTGGTACGAGGATAGCCAATTGCCGAACGACTGGGTGATTGCTACATCCGAAAATGGTTGGACTACCAATGAGATTGGTCTGGAATGGATCAAACAC